CTTCCTATCAAACGGACCCTTAGAAAAATTGCACTCTTGCTGGGGTTTAGTACAGGAAATGGTGCATGTTCAGCAGAGCCTAAGAGAAATAATTACTTTCTACTTACTTTTAAGTAGAAAGTTACATGGGCTCTTGTTGTGAACGACGAGTTTTTGATTACATCTGGTATGCTAGGATTAAATATCAATGATTAAGTTGTGGGATAGAGGATTCTGTACGACTTAGCCGCTTCTTCCTATATCTCCATGCAACTTGTATTATCCTCGCTGCAAGGCCTCGCCAGTAAGGTGATTCATACCTGCAATGGAATGTGCATTCGTTAGAGTAATCACCATTGGAACACAATCGTCCCATATGCATTTTCCAAATATCATCTCTCCATTTCATAACACGAACTGGTTACTGTACAACCAGACATAAAGGTAGATATTTATAGCATAATATCGTTTCATTCACAGTATTATTAAAACCGAGTTACTCAAATGTATTTCGGGGATGTCAAAACAATGAAGACAGTGCAGATGCTGCACTTCTTGCTTCTGCAAAATCAAATGGATTCACCCACCTGTCGTTTTAAGTTTTTTATTTTTTATTTTTTTTCCTCTGAAACAAGGAAGAGAATTTGTATATTGTTGATGCATCTGGTTTTGGACTGAAATAAAGCAGTTTAAGGACTAACAAAATAAGAAAAATATGTAAGGCCCCCATTGTATTTTTTCAAATAAATTACCTAATGGCCCCCTGGACACGTGGGCTTCTCAAGAATCTTGCAAAAAGACTGGTGACTTCTTCAAGATCTGCAGCGCGCAATACAAATGCTTCTACATTTGTTAAGCATCTCACAAGCCTATTGCTCAACAATCTGTGCCCTGGAATCCTGATTTTTCTTCCATCTGAAAAAGAAAAGACAAGGTGATATCTGTTTACATTTAGTAAATGATTCTGATGATAAACCATGTAAGAGGTCAACTGAGAGATTTGATTGATTCCATATGTCATCCACTTGTACCTTTATTTACAGAAGAATGCTCGAGGCACCAAGTAAGGAGTTCTTCTCCACAAACATCACCTTCAGACAGGGGAACCACAATTAGATCTTCTCCAATGCTCTCCATCTTTCCCCGGATTATAAAAACCATCTTATCAACAAGACCACCACGATATAGGATTTTACTTCCTCCAATATATGTTTTTGTTCTTAGTCTTGCGCATATGGCATCTATAATTGGTTCATCCAGAAGTTGAAAAATTCGGACCTGTAATTAACAACATAATCAAAATATTAATCGTAAGATGCAGAATCTAAAATATATATCAGAACGAATATTGTGATTATGCAGGAATGAGCCACACAATTTTTTATCCTCATCTGGACAGACCCGAAAACCTCATGTATATACAGGGACATGTCTCGTATTTTATAAAGAAGAAAAGTTACAACCAAGATTATTGAAGCTTTCTGTTTTTTTCTTTTTCCTCGATAGGTTGAACTGTCTCTCATTGTCTTTCTTTGCTTTGATGCGATATCTTAAGGACATTTAATTTCTATAAGCTTTATTTGAGTTGGAACTCACTTTCTCGATAAATTTAAAGAGATGGCGCCTAATTTCTCTTTGAAGGTCTTCGGGTAAATTCTCCAATAGCTGTTCTTCATTTACTCCCCTGGTTGCAGCCCAATTATAACGTTCTGCTTGTCGAACTAGCCTGCATTGAAAAAGACATAAAAAATGCATATGACAACCAGATCACTCTACTAATACATTAAATGGAGTTCTTTAGATGTTTACCACTTATCGAAGATTTAAATAAAAATACATAACATACTAGCTCATAAATGACCGGTCTATATTTAATAGAATAAGTGAGCCACTGGGATGTGCAGACAAACAATCATTAAGATGAAAAAAGAAACCATCATTTGTAGAGGAAAATAGAGATGCAACCTTCTTAGCTCTTCTGGCAAGCGGCGATGACTCATCCACTGCTCAACATCACGGCGTCTTAGAGACATCTCCAACCTCCTGAGAGACAAGTGCATAATTCTCTGTCAGTAACAACTATCTTTTCAATTTGAGCAAGTATCCCAAAATTATTTACGTGGAAGATTAAATTGCTTAATGATTGATCATGAATGAGATTTTGAAAATTCAGCAAATATCATGCGAACTCAGTGTAATGACATGTATCTTGCTAATGCCTAAAAGTTCTACCTGCGGCCAAGAGCCTGGAGAAAATTCTGCATGTTTCCAATCAGCAGAGCAAAAAGCAGAAGTCCCGCTCCTATGATACCCATAGTGAAAAGAACTTCCCACACAAAATAGCTCGGAACTAGATTCCCAGCAAGAGTACTAATTTGCTGTTTTAAACCAAAAGATAAAACTATGTCAGATGGCAAATCCATATTTTCAAGAAAAACAAGTACAGGGCTAGGTTGACATATAAAAAAAAAAAGTATATTTGAAGTTTATTCTAAGTTTAGCATAAACAACGAAGGTTTACAACACTGTTATATCTCATGCCTACCTGGAACCCCCAAAATAATGAATATATATATCTTGTGGATACACTTCGCTCTGTGGTTAGATTGACAGCTTGTTCATAGATTCCATAGGAGAAACCATCTTGCCCAAAACAAGCAGTCGCGTTTTCATTAATCTTCCATTGTTCCCACGTCGTATTATTCTGGAATTCTCCAAAATCGTTGCCATGCCCACAGTCGATGAAATTCACACACTTATCCAAGTTGGAATCTCGACATGCATCTCGAAGACATTGATTCACTCGCTGAAAAAAGTACATCAAGAAAAATTCCAAGTTGTCTCAACTTCATCAGGACAACCAAATAACAAAGAAACTTCTCAAAAGGAATAGGCAAAGAACAATAAAAAGATTTTAAAGCATAATGTTGGAGAAAAAATAAGAAAAGTATACCAAGTTTATTTAGGCCATGTATTTACATGCATTTATGGATCTCGAGGGAGTGACTTATAAGTTCTATTTAAGTAGAAGTTGCAAAGAGTTATTAGAAAGACTAAAAAGAGAGGATTATTCAGCATATTATATACAAGGTTAAATACTTCAATTATCTACATAAATCAAGATTTCAAATTCTTCATTAACAGAACTCTAGATCCAGTACCTTACGCCATTTTATAGCACATAAAACCTTGAATTTACAGTATAATAATAAAAACCAAGTATGAATTTTGCAGTTGATGTTGCTTGCAGTTCAGGTAGAGAGGCAGCAATATTGAAAACATAGTGCAAGTTAGCCCCTGTTTGTTTAGCTAAAAATAAGTTTTACAACTTGTTTGAGCCACATTTTTTCTTAAGAATACATTTTGGAATAGTAGATTGATGGAGAATGCATGGTTGAAAAATAAGGAAAGGTTTTGGGTTTGCGCGTATTATTATTTATTGAAAAATGCGTGGTTGAAAAGAAGAGAGAGAAAAATGTATTTCGAAAATAATGGGATCAAATAAGGGCTTAATAGATTTTAATAAAAGTTGATGAAGTGTAATTTAAAAATTGTGGTCTCATGAAATGTGTGATTAAAAATAATTGTTGACTTTGACTTGGAGTTTTGTCAACTTTTTAAGCCATACCAAACAAGGGCTTATATCATAACGAATCCACAAATGCAATATCGCCATAATTAATTTAGTTATGGAAACCCCATGACGATAATTGATATTTTGATTGTTAAGTTGAGCAGGAAGGGCCCCTCCCGGCGTGTGTGTGGGACAGATTCCCCCGGACTGAAATTTCATTAGGGACATTTTTCTTAATTTATCCTATAAATGCGAAGTCGTTATTAGACATTTAATTGCCATAAAAAAGATAGAAAGACAGGTTAAAAAAATAGGCATGCAATTCTCTTGTAAACTTTTTTTTCATTATAATGAATTATTGCAACGACGGAAGACAACGTAGTCCCACATTGAGGTGAATATCTAAAAAATTTGTGTCTTTATTTTTTATGCTGTTTGATTGCTGTGGAATAGAATTAGGGTTTCTAATTTTCAACATTGAGAACTTAAATGATGGAAGATTTTGAAGAAAACAAGGCATACCTGTAGGCCAAAGAGATACCAGCATGAGCCTACCAGGTGGCCAGCCAACACGAAAGTGAGGAGATTTATTACGAAATTTGCCCACGCTGACTCGAAGATGAGTCCAGTTGCAGACTGACCAGCCAGAAAAGGCAAGAATCTGCAGAGTCTGGGAATATACTGTACAAGAATTGCAGCTCGCAAAAGATCTTTTGCATAATTGGCTCCAGATGATCCCATGGAGTCTGGCAAGACTAATAATATAATGATCTGCACAAAATAAAAAAAATTAGGTTTTCAAAATATTATGTGTTAACTTGGTACACCCAACTATGAGTATTCATATCTAATGAAACAAGATCATAACCAAATATTGGGGACAAATGTACTGGACATGATCAAGGAGAAGAAGGGCAAGTAGAGAAGCGATCCTTACTTGTGGAAGTGGCAATGCGACAAAGACATCTATTATAAAATAACTGGAAAGATAATTGCGAGCAATCTTTTTGGGATCATCAACTAAATCTCCAGCTCCCACCACTCTAGATTCAGGAGCAACATAAGCCAGCCTGAACTGCAATGAGAACGGGATACCAGTCAAGATTTTCCAGTCATCAGCCAAGATTATTGGCAGTGTGGCATATTAACAATAACTACTCACAAATAAGGAGTATCTATTTTTTCCAGAATCATACATCATACTGATAATTATTTGTAAATGCAGATTTATAGATTATATGTATAACAATTATTATCCATCTTCTTTATCCTTCTAATAGATGGACACACATATATTTCTTCACATTGATCCAAACACAGAGAGGAGAGTTGTGCTTCAACTAAATTCATTCATTATATGTTTAATATAAAAAGTTGAAATATATACCAACTTTTGTCCTTGTAATTATTAGGGACTTAGATGTAAATTTGTAAATTTCTTTTCATCCTTGTATATAGTTGGTAGAACATCAATAATAAACATAACCTTTTCTCCTACACAAAACTTCACAACATAGTATCAAAGCAGACCCAATTTTGCAATGTTGGGTGCACTCAATATCGATTTGTTCACAGTTGTTTGGTATGGTCCACGCTGTGCGTGAGGGGGCGTATTAGAATCACACATTGCTTGGAAAAATATAAATGATCCAC